GCAGTTTTCTTTGCACCATCATCCTTCATCAACTTTGGATTTTGAACTAAAGGAGTGTTAACTGATTTGCAATTCTCCATATTGAACTTCTTTAACACTTCTTTAGCATACCTCATTTGGCAAACAAAAATACCATCCTCTATTTGATTAATCTCCATTCCAAGGAAATACTTCATTTCACTCAAATCTATCATCTCAATTACCTTCTTCATTTCATCCTTCACCACTTCAATTAAGGTTGCATTACTTCCTGTGATTAAGAGATCATCTACGTACAGTGAGATAACAATCAACTCATCATTCACTTGTTTGATATAAAGTGTTTGTTTATTGACACTCTTACCAAAACCAAAGCTACTTAGATGTTGGTCTATTCTGCTGTACCAACTTCTTGGCGCCTGTTTCAAACCATATAAAGCTTTCCTCAATAGGTTATCCTTATCCTCTTTTCCTTCTTTGATGAAGCCTTCAGGATGCTCAATAAAAATCTCATCATTCAAGTACTCATTTAGGAAGGCAGATTTTACATCAAGCTGATATAACTTCCATTCTGATTGAGCAGCCATTGCAAATAACAACCTTATTTTTTTCAAATCTGGCCACTAGAGCAAAATTATCAGTGAAATTGACTCCATATTGCTGAGCATAGCCTTTTACAACTAGCTTAACCTTGAACTTGTTGACAGAACCACCAGCATTCATTTTGGTCCTAAACACCCATTTTACTCCAATAACATTCTTGATTTTTGGTCTATCAACCAACATCCAAGTTTCGCTCTTTTCAATCACCATGATCTCCTCCTTTATTGCATCTAACCAAACTTTGGAATGAGCTGCTTCATTATAGGTTGCAGGCTCCAGAATTGCAGGTGGCATAAATATCCTGAAGTGATTTGGTTCTTATCACTTCATTTTCTGAATCTGATTCACCCTTAGGTTCAGCTTCATGTCTCACTTCTTCTTCAGCATTACCAGCATGTTCAGTTTGTGAAATCAGTCTTAGAGTTTCAGATTTATTCACAACATTTGACTCCCAGTTCCATGAAGAACTTTAATCAACCTTGACATCTCTAGTGGAAACAACCTTGTTGGTTTGAAGATTATAAACTCTATAACCCTTAGCATTTTCACAATAACCAACTAAAAATTATACTTCAGCTTTTTGACTTGTCTTTCTTTACTTCAGGTATATGCATATAACATACACTTCCAAACACTTTCAGATGTAAAACGTTTGGCTTAACTCCATACTAAGCCTCATATGGAGTTAACTTGTCCAAAGCTTTAGTAGGCAGCCCGTTGAGTAGGTATATTAAGTTGTTCACTACGTTAGCC